TTTGGAATAACATTGCAGGAGGCATTTGAAAAGCTTAAGCGATGTTTGATTTCTTCCCCTGTCTTGCTTTTCCAATTGAGACAGGAAAATTCATTTTGGATACTGACACCTCGAGTCATGGCATTGGTGCTGTTTCATCCCAGATTCAAGAAGGAAAAGAGAGAGTAATTGCTTATTTTAGTAGGATGTTAAATAAAATCGAAATAAATTATTGTGTTACTCGTAGAGAGTTGTTAGCAATAGTCGACTTTTTGAAAAGTTTTCATCATTATAAATGTATCATTGTATTGTTGACGTGTTATTCTAAATACGTTATTTGCTATAAATATCATCACATGCCTTGGTAGTCGAAGGGATAAGATGCCTGCCCGGTAAGCAGGAGATCCAGGTTCGATTCCTGGCTGAGGTGGTATTTTTTCGCAAAATAATTACGAGTTTTCACGACTGGTTCGTAGTCGAGCCCTGCCGTGACGCACACCCTCCCTTCTTATTTGGGACAAGAATTTTTAATAAGAACTGATCATGTTACTCTCCGTTGGTTGATGTCTTTTAGGGAACTAGAAGGTCAGTTGGCCCGCTGGTTGGAACATCTTCAGCAATAATTTCGAAATTTCTCATCGAGCAGGGAAATCGCATGGGAACGCTGATGGATTATCAAGATGCCCCTGTGCGGAAAGTGACTGCAATTATTATTGCACTAGAGTGGAAAGAAAAGAAGAGGAAAACAAAAGGAGGAAAAACAAAAGAATATTTGGAAAGGATAATTTTAGAGGGAAAAGAATCGAAGAATTGGCGGGCAGCGGAGTTAGAACATCCTTCGATTGTTGAAATTCTTCGGAGTAAGGAAATAGACGCCCTCTTTGACATGAAATTATTTCTAGAAATACTTCTTCGAAAATTTATTGGTCTTAATGGGATTTTCTGATTATTAAGGATGAAATTCTTTGTAGGAGATGGGAATCTCCTGATTTAAAAACTGTTATTTTTCAAATTGTTGTTCCTCACAAAATAATGCAACAGATTTTGGAGGAGACTCATGATTCTTCTACAAGAGAACATTTTGGAATTAATAAAATTCTTGAGAAGATTCGGAAACGTTTCTTTTGGGCGACATGTAAACAAGATGTGAAACATTGGATTAGGACCTGTAAAGTTTGTGTTAAAATATACTAAAAAACTGCTGGAAAGGGAAAATCTGCTTTTCAGATTTATAATGTGGGAGCTCCCTTTGAGAGGATGCAGATGGACATGTTAGGCCCCTTACCATTTTCTTCTTCCGGGAATAAATATTTATTAGTAATGACTGATTGCTTCTCAAAATGAGTGGAAGCTTTTCCATTGAGAAATATCAAAGCTAGTATAGTGGCAGAAGTCTTTGTAAGTCAAATAGTATTTAGGCATGGAGTGCCATTAGAAATACATACGGATTAGGGAAGGAATTTCGAATCGCGAATGTTTCAGGAGTTATGTCAAATTTTAAGAATAAATTCGCACTACTCCTCTTCATCCACAATCCAACAATCAGGTGGAAACGACATCAGACTTTGTTAAATTGTTTATCTAAATTTATTTCAAAAAACCAGAGAGATTGGGATCGTTGGGTTCCTTTAGGATTATTGGCTTACAGATCTTCTAAGCATGAGGTCACAGATTTTATTCCTGCAGAGTTGAATTTGGGTAGAGAATTAAGATTGCCTATAGATCTTCTTTCTGATTGTTCTCCTGAAATCGGTAATGTTTCTCAAGAAGGAGGATATTCATTTAGATTGAGGAAGAAAATGAATTATATCCATAAAGCGAGTCCATGTTGCGAGTCAACGTATGGATGTAAGGTCTCAAAGGACAAAAATAAATTATGATCGAAAGGACTGACGGTTGAATTTTGTGCCTGGTCAGAGAGTTTGGTTTTATAATCCTCAAAGAATGCGAGATACAGCTCCCAAGTTGCAAAGTAGTTGGGAAGGACCTTATAAAGTGATTAGAAGAATGAATGATATAGTTTATTGCATTCGTAAAACGAAACGAAAAGACATAAAAATAAGGTGGTACATTTAGATAGATTAGCTCCATTTAAGGAAAGGAAAAATTTGTGGGAAAAGAATCGAAGCCTGTAAA